ACTTACAGAAAAAGGATCATCCTCATCCCATTAAGGATAAGCGATGCAATGCCAAAGGTGTGTGTCAGACATGAAGAGAAAAGTTGCTCGATATGTACCTCCTAATTGAAGAGTGCAATTTCTTGGCTCCATGTAGAGAGAGCGTAGGAATGCTATCAGACATGCTTGAACAAGGCAGCGTGTATCTGGATCCACTTCCGGTTTTTCGAGAAAAAAGGTTTGTTTTATTGTATATACTAATGATAATTTTTGTACTAACGCGTGTTGTATGTATAATGTATTTATTAGCGTGAATGTGTAGTCTAAGAGTGTCGATTGTTGGCTATAAATCATAACGTCCTTGAATCTATTGGCTTTTTTTACATAACTACCATAAATTTTTTACTGAACCTAACTATCTGTTGAATAGGTTTTTTTTTCTCATCGGGTTGTTTTTTCGAGTAACCTTTTTGCTTGTTTCATACTTGGCGTTTCCAGTATATTTTGTGTATCAAGAGGTTTTTTTCATAATGGTTGTCTTTTTGGATTATTTTATTTTTCCTAGCTGCTTATTAATTGACTTGATCCTTCTTTTAAGTAATACAACATGTCAACACTGTCATTTCAGCATTTTTTTTTGTCTTCTTGGTATCCAAGGTTTATGCCTCTTTGAGCGGTGTCTAAGCATTCTACGATAATATGGGTGACAGTTTCTGGAACCGACATAACAACCATAAATAAGATTTCATAACTAAAACTAAAAAAAAATTCCAATTAATTAAGGTTTTGGTTGAGATAAAAAAGTCAATGTCACAAGCGGGATTCGAACCCACGACCTTCACCTAAATATGCCGCTGCTCTACCACTTGACCTATCGTGACTTTGATCCACTCGGACACTTCCCATCTCAACCCCACCTTTTGAATTTTCCCTCCTTTTTGCCATTTTTCAAGGAGGGACTTTTTTATCTCAACCAAAACTTTAATTAATTGAAAGAATTTATTTGGACCACGAAACCTAATAAAACTAAAAAAAATATTGATACAAATCTGGCTTAAATAAAGGAACTTAGGGGGTGGACATCAACTGTGGGGCACCCTGTATATAATATATTTCTGATTCAGGTAGAACTCTACTCAATAGATGGCAATTTAAATAAACAATATTTCGATGAAAAAAGTAAAATATAAAAAATAAAATCATAAATGTTACATTTTGTGAATGACGAAATATTGAATATTCCTTTGCATTTTTAAAACCAATGAAACCTCAATAAAAAAATTTTATTATTAAAGGGTTGAGTTCGAAATGAACTTTTTTTTCAGCTAGATTAGAGATGGGGTGCTTAATTTTTGTTGTATTTTTTTTCCTCCAGAGAGAGGCTTCAACTAATACCGTCAGTACATGCATGAGGCTTTCCCCTTTCCTTTTTGTGTCCTCTCTAATGATGGAAAACAGGAAAATGTCCTTTTTCATGCAAATGTAAATGTATCAGCAAGTGTGTGAGGTGGGGAAGAAAATGAACAACGCGTGTTCCAACATTCTCTTCCAACTCCGTTCCTTTGCCAAGTAATTGTACTGTTATTCCGTAATTGATGTTCATAAAAAAGGATCAATATTTTGATTCAGGCTTTCGTATGAAAAAAAATTATGGGTTATATTCTTCATAATTACTTTAGAAAATTAAATCAAGCCCAAATTTCCGTAAAAGTTCACCGACCTTCTTGACTTATTGTTAATGATAAAAGATAAGTTTCTAACTAACTCAGGATATCACATAACCTACAAGTTTGTGAACATAAAAATGCAATTTTTCAATCGGTATTTCTCTGTATGGACAGATCAAAGAGCTTCATTGGCGTGGTAGGCTGCGTTTGTAAGTAGCCCTTACCTTGTTTCTCTGGATCGCAACTCTCTTAATGTCGTGTGTTCTGATAGCAATAACGTGTCTCCTCAACTGACGTTTTAAGTAAAGCATTAAAAAATAAATTCAGTTAAAAGGGGTTTTGGTTTTCCATGCACCACCCTCTTCCTCATTACCCACGGATAATGAAGGTCTTACTGTGATTCTCTGGCTCGAAATCTGCCTTGTATGCCTTAGCAGTACCCCTAATCATCAGTATATACTGATCGAACCGTGGTATACTCTTGTATGAGTTTCAACTCGGTTGTTCGGCATCCTGGGAGAAACTATGACGTTTAGGAGAGTGGTAAGGATCAACCTCGGTTAATTGTCGGCGGAGTCCTCCTCTTCCTACTTCATGAACTCCCTGAGCGGCAGTATGAGACATGTGTTTCGTTGCTTGCCAAGAACAAGCCTGTTTTTTGAATAAATATGCTATAATACTATCAAAAAGTCTAAAATTTGCACACTATTCATTTTTGAATATAGGAGAAGCCATCACCTCTACACCCTACTCCAATCATCTTGATATCCATCAAAAATTATAGAAAACAACTGCACTGGTGAATCTGGATGTTGATATTGATGTTGGATACTCGATATTCCATCAAAGGCTCGCCTCATTCACGCTAATAAATACATTCGTACTGATTATAACCTTTCATACCATATGTACAGCTGAAAATTGGGGATTGATATTACCCCCGTGCCTCTTCCGTTTCACTCTAAAAACAACTAAGTTAAAGCTAACCTAGTTTAGTGGGTCTGAGGGTCGATATTCCGCCATGACCCACCACACATACTCAACACTCGCTAATAAATACATTCAAGACAAAAACACTCACAGAAAAATCAACCTAGTTTGGTGGGTCTGAGGGTCGATATTCCGCCATGACCCACCACACATACTCAGCAGTCGCGCTAATAAATGCATTCATTTCAGATCCGAAAACCACGTTTGGTAAAGAATGAAATGCAGCTATATCCATTTATTTTTCTGTACTATTGTTCGCCATCGATCAGTGTGTTTAACGGTTACTTGTACGCCTCACTTGGGACATCTCCGTGGCATATTGTTAATAAGGAGATAGTCATGCGTCAGTCTGGTGTGGCCTATTTGCAGTCGGGCCAACACTGTGCTCTAGAGGATTTTTATCCATTCTCTCTATGCTGAGTTCATTTCTTCTCCCAACTAGGAATATTTTTAAATACAATTTAAAAATTGGATTTAGGTTGGGAAGAGAATGTGAAGGAAGGAAAAATGTAAATGTCGTAAATAGAATTATTTTCAAAAAAGTCACCCCTATTTATTTTAATTTTTTAATTTAATTTTTGTAAAATTAAAATTTTATAATTATTCTTCCGTAAATTTCTTAAAACCTATCTCACTTTATAAAAAAGTGAATCGATTGGAAAATCAAAGCAAGGTTTGTTGGTAATAAAACACAAACAAAATTAAATTTATTTCTATTTCAGGGTTCAAAAAAAAATGTTTTTATTATTCCAGTATAAACAATTTCAATTAATTTAACCGATGTAAAAATCAAAAATAATTTTAAAAAATCATCTTAGTATAATTATTTTGATAAAAATATATTTACAAATTGATTTGCCACGAAAAGGTTAAATACTAATTATTTTCTACTGAAAGTTAAAAGTTATTTAGCACCTCAAAGTTACTCCTGCCAAAAAGAAAAAAATGCTAATATCAACTATAACACAACCTTTTACATTTTATATATACAACTACTTTAATATTCTAAAATTTCAAAGTTTTTTTACTTTAATAACAATTCATTCAAAACAATCTTTAAAAGGTCCATTATTCAATTTTATGTACAATTTTGTTCCCTAAGTACACGCAAAGTTTTTTTTTAATAAATGGTTTTTTTGCAAAGGCAGTTTTTTTGTGTTTTCAACAAGTTTTTCGTTCCTAATAGCTTTTTTTTTACAAACCTACACAATAATATATTCCGCAGCTATCTTTATTCTTTCTCCGTGTTTTTATTACAACACTAATATATAATATTTGTGTACAATTTAGTTTTTAATCAATTCCTTTTTTTTTGACAAAGTTAGGAAAATTATTATCCTTTGATTTTACACTATTGCAGACTAAAAGATCAATTAAGAATCAATAAAACAATAATTTTTGCCTCCTTTCTCCCTGTCTTGGTGAATTATAACATAATTCTTGACATTTCATTATAAGCCTGAAACATAATAATATAACATATATGTTATTTATTATTATATACATTATATTATTATGTTAATTTTATAAAGCTTGGCTAGTTGGAAAAAAAATTAAAATTTATTCATATAAGACAAAAACATGTTAAGAATAAAATTTTTATTACCAGCAATAATTTGTACTTTTGTCCTATTGAAATACAATTCTTTCATTTTAATTTAAAAACTAGGAAAATTTACATGTGTAAAATTATAAAGTAAGAGTAATTTACAATACCTTAAATTTACAACAATGTAAATTTCAAACTTCAAGTCTAGTTAGGAACTAAATACGCATATTACTCGATTTAACTTATGCTATATATTATTTAGTCGTTGTTTCATCATTTATAATTTGGAAAAACACTCTTTACTAATATATTCTATTAATATAATTTTCTAAAGCTTTACGAATATAAGAGATGTTACTTGTTTATAATAGGTTTTTAGAAAATAAAATTAGATCGAAACAATTTTTCTTTTTCTTTTTAACTCACATATTTAACAAATAATTTATGAAGTTTTTATTCAGATTGTTCTTAAGCAATTTTATTGTATTTATTTTAAATTATCACAGCGTGACATAGCAACCATTAACAAATCAATTTTACGCTGAAAACATAACATTTCGTACTTTTCTCACGAGAGATAACAATAACATTGAATTGACTATATCAGTCTTCCTCGGCTATTAAAGCTAAAATCAAAAGAGTCAAATTAAATCGGAATTTTTATAAAGTTTGGTTGAAACTGTTTCGTTGGATCAGTACAAAAATGATTTGGATGAGTTGATTTTTAAGGCCTCGTAAATACCGGACAATAAAATAATCATATGAACCCATAAAAGTATATTTGTTTCTGTAATAGAGAAAGAAGAAGTCTACTGTATCATTTATGTCAATATATTAAGCTTGAATATATCTGAAAATACAAGATTGATACACAATAGTATTGAGAATTGTTGAAATATTGCACTGGTTTATATGATTTTCAGTTACTATAACAAATAGGTAAAGCGATTAGACTTTCAACAATTGGGATATTGTTTCGTTACAAAATTATATCGCAAATTTATAATAAAAAGATTCTTGAATTAAAATTATATCATTCCAAATCCTTCTGTTCCTTCGTTTATCGCCAGCAGAAGCGCTTTCTCAAATTGCTCATAGCTGTCATAATCAGGGAGGCAGAGCTGGTTGAAACTAAAACAAACGAAACAATGTTAGATATTGTAATAAAAAATCATGGGTATAAGCAGGGTGCAAGAACACGGATCCGACTAAGCTGCATGACTAAGCAAACCTCAAAAGGAAATTTCAAAATAATTTGGTATATGTCTTTGAGTCGGGTTTCTCACTGAAGAAGGCGCAAAGTCGAAACATGTTTAAGTAACATTAAAAACATTAAAATCCGCGAGTGTAGGCAGTCCGAGATACGAAATTATTTTTATTTTAATTGATTTAGAATTTTTATGTAAAGTGTGGTTCAAATGAAAAATTATCGTCACGAGCGGACTCGAATCCACGACATTAGGCTCTAAACCCTGGTGCTCTAACCATTCGAGCTATCGTGACATCAACTCCGAAAATAGGGAAACTTTACAAAAGTTGTATGAGTTGGTGTCCCTGGTGAAAGAAGTCACTAAAGCTCAAATGGTTAGCGCACCGAGGTATTAAGTCGGAGGTAAAATTAAATCAAAATAAATCATTACTTCTTTCAATTAATTGTTCTTGTTATGTAAGGTCTTGGTTGAGATAAAAAAGTCAGTTTCACGAGCGGGATTCGAACCCACGACCTTCGGCTTGATACGCCGCTACTCTACCACTTGACCTATCGTGGCTTCAAGAGGTTAGAACAGAGGCATATTGAGCCGAAGGTCATGGGTTCGAATCCCGCTCGTGACACTTTTTCATCTCAGCCAAGACCTTACATAAAAAGAATAATTAAGTGAAAGAAGTAATTTGGTTAATCAGGCCACTAAATATAAATGGGTATTATTATAATAAACGTTACTATTATTTCAATTAATTAAGGTTTTTAAGTTGAGATAAAAAAGTCAGGTCACGAGCGGGATTCGAACCCACGATCTGCGGCTTGATACGCCGCTGCTCTACCACTTGAGCTATCGTGACTTCGACCCCTCGGGCACTAACTTCCCATCTCACCTTTTGAATTTCCCTCCCTTTTGCCATTTTTAGTGGTAGAATAGCGGCGTATCAAGCCGAAGGACGTGGGTTCGAATCCCGCTCGTGAAACTGACTTTTTTATCTCAACATAAAAACCTTAATTAATTGAATGTTATTAATTGGTCAAGCGGGCCACGAAAAATAGTGGAGTTACTATCATTGTTAGCACTTTTTATTCTTATGTGTATTTCCCTTCTTATTTTTATTCTTGTTTATCCTTATTTTCCTATTCAATATACATATTTTTATTATATTTATAGCATTTATCTAATTCATTATATTAATTTCTATTTATTTTATTTCAAAAAAATTTATACTTTTGTTAACCGTTTACAATAATTTATAATCAGAGAGGTTTATATTATTTCGCAGTTTATAAAATCATTTATTTATTTTATGTGTATATTTTACTTTATACTGTTATTATTATTATAAACATTATTACTTTTAAATCCATTTTATTTAGTGGTCTGATAGACCAAATTACTTCTTTAATTATTTTTTGTATGTAAGGTCTTGGTTGAAATGAAAAAGTTAGTGTCACGAGCGGGATTCGAACCCACGATCTTCGGCTCAAAACATCTTTTTTTTATTTAACTCTTCTTCCCCATTATTTATCATATAATTTATATACCTAAAACGTTATGTATTTATTTTCAATTAATTAATCTTTAAGTAAGGTATTGGTTGAGATAAAAAAGTCAGTGTCGCGAGCGGGATTCGAACCCACGACCTTCGGCTCAATAGCCGCTGCTCTAACCACTTGAGATATCGTGATCAAATGCTAGAACAGCGATGTATTCATCTCAGCCAAGACCTTACATAAAAAGAATAATTAATTGAAAGAAGTAATTTGGTCAATTAGGTTACTAAATATAAATGGGTAAATCATTAATATGGTTAAATAAGACCAATTAAAAAACACGAATTATTCTAGTGCCTTAGGATGATCATTATAAATGTAATTTACGTAAGGATATTGTTTTGATTAGTGGGTTAAAATCATTTTAGTCATTTTATGGTCAGACGGGTCTAGCTGTTACTAGTCTACCTATTTTGCCAATGGTTCCATGAAGGAAGAAGATTGTTGTTTGAAACGATTAATAATTATTAATGCCATTGTGAAACTTCGTCGAGTGAGATGGGTTTCTATGAAATTCTGCCCACAATTAAATTTAATCATCCTTGTTTCTCTGTGAAAGCAGACTCCCATTGAAGATTAGCAGTTAATTCGAAGAGGGTTTGAAAGGGAGAGAAGAGGCGGCCTTGAGAGGATCGATTTCCATCAGACTACTATTTACAGGTAGTTGAAGCCGAAACTTACCAGGTATGAGCCGTGGGCAAATTGCCGAAAGTGGGTGCTGGGGTGAGTTGAAATCGCGGGCTGAGCTCTTTGAACCCTCCGGGCGGTAGCTGCGAACTCCCGGTCGTAAACTGTAACAGCCTGGCCATTTCTTCGTGTGTGAAATTGCAAACGGCGGCCCAAAACCAGTCTAGAATCCTCCTGAATTCCGGCGACGAACCGTTTATGATGTGGTGGGCCCGGAAATCCGCAACGCTGTACTCGCCCGTACCGCACATCAGGAGCTGGAATATAAAAAGAAACGAGTTTTAATAAAAACGTTAAGCTGGAGGTTTTATATGAGAATTAATGGTATCCAGGGGTCAGTAAATTAATGGAAGTGAGTCGGGGATGAAGCGGGGGCAATTAAAGCTTTATCGGCTTACCTCTAACTCGTTTTCGTCAAATATGCTTAGGAGATTATCTGGGATGAGGTCGTTTAATCCCCTTAAAAACGCCTCGACTTCTTCTTTCAAATTCGTCGCAAGCCTGTACTGAGCCAAAGCGTCCAAGTATTGATGTTTTGTCGAATTGTGAACTCGGATTTTACTGCCATTTGGCACCAGTTCGATCAACTGTAAATCGGTAAAACATAAAAACGTTAAAATTGATTACATATATCATTTTTTTAATTAAATCTCAACTTTGATATCAGATAAATGATTTTAACAGGAAGGATTTGTTATTTTGGCATATGAAAAATGAGACTTGTTAATTAGTTTTATCATTGGAGTTCTTGTTTGCTTACTTTAACATCATTAACTTCATTAACTTTTTAATTGCATTTATTTTTAATTATATTTAACATACTAGCACCATTTTTTTATGAAGAACCATTGATAAACAAACATTCCAAAATCGTCTCTCGACTAGCTCTCAATATTAAAACCATTGGTGGATAATGGCCGTACAATAATTTTCAGTCGATAATGTATCAAAACGGACGTTATGAGAAATTATGGTCGATCCGAGTGTCAACATCAGGATCAATGCTGTGTTCAAACCACACGGTACACCACTTTACACGAGCGATTGTTCGAACTGGAATCAATAATTTACCAAATATCCGTTTGCATCTTGTCCTTCAAAATTTACTGAAATCCCAAAACAATACAGTTTGGAAGTAATAATTTAAGACTGTTATTGTGGATTGTCACAATTTTCTTATTTATCTTTTTTTTCATAAAAATCTTATATTTAATCTGTTATACATCTATTTTTTATACTACTATATTTTCTTTACACTTTCAATAATTGCGTATTGCTTGTATTGCATTTTTCTTCAGTTCATTTACGACATTTTTCTGTTAATAGGAAGAAGTTCGAGGACGGTTCGGAACACAAATTTTTTATTTCAATCTTGTAGAATTGTTTTGCACATTATTATGGCCATCAGAAGAGAGGTATCCAGGAATTCAAGGCAGAAATATTTAAATAAAAGTCCAACTTTTTTTATTGTAAAATTTGGTCGTTACTGCTCGTTTTTGTCTGCTTATCATCACTTGGTTGGACTGTCAGAGGCGTCACGTCATTTTCGCTATCCTCAGTTTGTCTCTCTGTCTAGGAAATAGAATTGTTTTGCACATTATTATGGCCGTCAGATGAGAGGTTTCCAGGAATTCAACGCAGAAATATTTAAGTAAAAATCCAACTTTTTATTGTAAAATTTGGTCGTTACTGCTCATTTTTGTATGTTTATCATCACTTGTCTGTCTGTCAGAGGCGCCTCGTGATTTTCGCCATCTTCAGTTTGTCTCTCGGTCTAGGAAGTAGAATTTTTTCCACATTATTATGGCTGTCAGATGAGAAGTTTCAAGTGATTCGAGGCTGAAAATTTTTAGTAAAAGTCCAACTTTTTTTTTTAAATTGTAAAATTTAGTCGTTGCTACTCGTTTTTGTCTGCCTAACATAACTTGGTTGGACTGTCAGAGGCGCCACGTCATTTTCGCCACCTTCGTTTGTCCCACGGTTTAAGAAGTAAATTTTTTTCCACATTGTTATGGCTGTCAGATGAGAGGTTTCAAGGAATTCAAGGCGGAAATATTTAATTAAAAGTACAACTTTTTTTTTAATTGTAAAATTTAGTCGTTGCTACTCGTTTTTGTCTGCCTATCATCACTTGGTCGGTCGGTCAGAGGCGCCACGTCATTTTCGCCATCTTCAGTTTGTCTCTCGGTCTAGAAAGTAGAATTGTTTTGCACATTGTTATGGCCGTTAGATGAGAGGTTTCAAGTGATTCGAGGCAGAAACCTTTTTGTAAAAGTTCAACTTCTTTTTTGTAACAAAGCTATTTATAATGCCACGTGGAACCCAAAATTATCTTCTATATTTTGAAACTGCCACACTGTATCTGTTCTTGTTTGAGTTACACACTTCTCCTGCATTATTTTATGTAAAAAAAAAAAAAAAAATTTCATGGTCTTTGTTTATCTGAGCTGCGATAACCAGTTAAGCTACGTTGTTTCCATCTAAACTCTGCCATATGGATTAGAGATTCTATAGAGATTCTGCAACTCTCATAACATTGAATTCATTTCTGGTGGCACTATTATTTAGTGAATCCACCATGGCAGTATTGATTTTTAACGCTGTAACACGCTGTGTATGCAAAAGTTTTTTTTTTTTCAAAATGAGGAGTTAAACAGGCAACCTCGAAAATTTCAAAAAGATGCAGTTTTACAAAGATGCCTCCAAGTGTTTACAATTATTTACTAAATTTGATTAATAAAAATTAATTTACCTTGTATAATTGTCCCATTTTGTCATATTCTTCTTCCACAAAGAATAATTCCATATCTTCTACATCGTGATCTAGGATATATTTGACTTTGGTCAAATACAAATCCGGATCGTCCTGCTCAAAGTACTAAAAAAAAGAAATTGGTTAAGTAAAAAATGGATTTGTGAAAGTGTGTGGAGAATTACTTTGTAGTGCACTCTGAGCCCGATGAGCTGAGCCAAGAAAGATCTTGTAAATCTTGCACGGACCAATTGCCTGTAGCCCCCGCCCAACGCCGACTCGTACAGACATTTGCCGACGACCCTTCCGGCGAACTCGTAGTATTTCAATTTTAAATTAGGTGGCCTTTTTTGGTTTGGATGGACCAACGCCTGAGAAAGGAAATTAAACATTCAAAAACAATTTCAACCTCGGTGACGCGCGTCCGTTCAGACGAGGCCGTTACCTGCTGATTGTCCGAAAAACCCGTGAACAGAAGGTTCTTCGGATCGAAGAGTGCCGCGCAGATAAGCTGGAACCATTCTCTTCTCAAGCCACCCCAGTCGACTCCTAAAAATCGGGAAAATGGAGGTTCAGAAAAGTTTCCCCGGCAAGAGAATCTCGAGATAGTCGCTCCCCCTTTTATAAATTACCTTGTTCCCCTTGAAAAGTTATTTCGAAATTCCTGCACCAATCGCTCACTGAATAACCCTTTGTAGCTTTTAACGACTGGAAAGAGAAATATTAATTTGAATCTTTTCAAAGTGACAAGAAGTTGGGAAGCAGCATAATTAAGCCTTACGGATTCAAGAAGTTTCTCTCTGTTCACTTTCATGGAAAGTTTTTCGTGGTAGTGCTTGTGGTGAAATCGTCTGACTTCGTGATAGAAAAACTCCTGCTTGTCTTTGAACGTTTCTGAACCTCCTAAAATATTAGCAATTATACTATTTAGTTGAATTTTCAATATAGTTTGCATTTGAAGTTTGGTTGTTTCTAATAATTCCAGGTCTGTCAGACAAGTTCCAGCTTCTCGTCATCTTCAGTACGGGTGATTTCTGAAATTTCGGATTCGGGTCTCTTCTGTAAATTCAGTAAGCTTTATTTTTGACAGTCGTTGACTTTGATTAGGTCAACTTTCGCTGTTTCCGTCATTGCGTAGGTCCTGTACTTGTTAGTGTGTTTATGAGTTTTTTAATAGTGCGTGTCTTGGGTGTTAGTTTTGTGTTTGATAAGTCGATTAGTTTGATACTCCGTCATTGTCATATATTATTTGTATCTGTCATCATTTTTATCCAACGCATTCATCTCCGCATTCGTTATGGCATTTATGACAATTGGGCTGGTTTGGATCATGTTTTGTCTCAGTTTCATACCGAATAGGGTCGGTGGTCTTTAACGGAAAAATTTTTAAGCAGGATCGGTAGTTTGTATTACGAACAGACACACTGAAGATGGCAAAAATGCTGTCACGCATACAGACAAACCCAGCGAGAATGGGCTGATCAGTCCTTGTGACCTTTGGTTCTTTAATTCGCATAATTTGTAAATGGTGTAGATTCAAATTTAGATGTACATTCAGGGGAATTGGATTACTGCGAATACTGCGCTCTTTGAGAGTAATTGGATCTGTTCAGTACTTACGTACTTACAATAGATACGTGCTACTACCAATTCATCAAGAAATTTTATTATTAGGCCAAGTTTTAAAGTAAATTTATAAATTATTCTACTGGTTATGTGCACGCAGTTTTTGTGGTTTAACCTGACACTGAAGAATATGCACATACTGTATTGGTTCATCCCAATCTTTATCAAATGACCATTTATTCCGCAGTGCAGCAAGAATACTTATAGGTGATGGATTGTGTAGTTTCTTTCTTTGCAAAATCTCGCTAGGGCGCACTTTAGGTCCCAAACTAGGCCAATTTGAAGGGTATGTTTTGGCTTTCTCTACTTCTTTTCATCTTCTTTTCTTATCTAGTCTGTGGGGTCAAGAAACCTGTCAGGACTCGTATTCCTGCTTTGGTTCGTTCTATAGTCTAGTTTCTTATTCTCACAAAGAGGTTCTTGGATCTTTGTTTCATCATCATTTTTCCTTATTTCCTAAGATTCTCGTTGACAGTATGGATCCGAATGCCACAAAAAAGTTCAGGACTTTCCATGCAGCAGCCACTTTCAGCACAAGGGCTTCCGCTTTTTCCTTATACTCCTGTGTGTCCTGGTTATTCTGTTTTCCGATCCTAATCTGTTTAGTTTTACTATTTAGCACCATTCTCGAGCTGAGTGTGAATGATGAACTGTTTAATTTTTGTGTGTATTTTTCATGTATAATAGTTGTTTTTTTAAATTTCTAAGTTTGCAATCATGTCTCTTTTTTCGTCCCTTGTTTGTGTTTGAGGTTGGCAAGTTTTTCGCGAACTTAAAATGGAACTGACTAAACCGAAAACAGGCCATTTCTGAAGACGACGAGAAACCGAAACCCCTTCACAGTCAGATTTCAGTATATGCTGACGAAAATGAACAAAAACGTCCAAACAAAGGTTGACCGCCCCGTAGACCTCAATCGTAAATCTACCGATATTTTATTTGTTCAAAAATTATAAATTATCAATTTTATTAGGTTTCGTGGTCCGCTTGACCAAATAAATTCTTTTCAATTAATTAAGGTTTTGGTTGAGATAAAAAGTTAATGTCACAGGCGGGATTCGAACCCACGACCTCGATCCACTCGGACACTTTATCTCAACCAAAACCTTAACTAATTGAAAAGAATTTATTTGGTCAAGCGGACCACGAAACCTAATAAAATGTAATTAGAAAAAAAAAGTATACTTCACTAAAAGCTCTCCGTGGCCGTTTCATTTGTCGCCAGGAATCAAATAGATTACACTACATTTGAAAAATGGCAAAAAGGAGGGAAAATTCAAAAGGTGGGGTTGAGATGGGAAGTGTCCGAGTGGATCGAGGTCATGATAGCTCAAGTGGTAGAGCAGCGGCATATTTAGCCGAAGGTCGTGGGTTCGAATCCCGCTCGTGACACTGACTTTTTTATCTCAACCAAAACCTTAATTAATTTTAAACAATTTTTGACTTGTATGTAAACAACCAAGACCGCTGTTAAAAGTAAATTAATTGCTTATATCAATATTATTAATGATTCTTATCTTCTAAGTAAACAAATATCAAAAGATGAACATTTTATATTTGTATATAATTGTATACAACAAACTGAACACTTCACGTCTTTAAAATGGGCCAATAAATCTTGAGATTTTGCCCTGTTTCTTTCTCAAAGTCGGCCGACTCGCTTCTATCTTCATGTAAAATTTATATGCTTTGCATAAATGGCAACGTTCTCTTCATAAATTGTTATTTTTTTGGGGCGTTATTTTATCTCTGAGCTCTTGTTACGTTAAATCCGAACGCTAGAAAAAACGATAATAATGATGAAAAACTATTTTTCTTTCTTTTTTAATCTACTGTCTGGTTAAAAAAAATACTGATTTAATTTTCTCTTTAAGACCCTAATTATCTTTTTTTTAATAAATTTTTTATAAAAACAACAATCTTGGGATTCAAATTATTTTAAGTCATTAAAACGATCTGGCACTGGGTCACTTACCGCGTCTAGTGTCCGTGTAGTCTTCGGTTCAATGTGCACAACACTTCCTCACTGAAGATGGCAGTGACAACGAAACTCACAACTGACCCAGTAAGTAACCCAGTGCGAGTTGAACATGATTTACCGAGTCTCAGACAAAACCAACATCGACAGTGTTTACAAGTTATAAAAATCAAAATCCACAGTGAAAATTACGAAAAAAATCGTAACTAACGACCAACTGCACATTTAGTGCTGTCCATCATCTCAATCAATCACGAAAGTGCCGTGACTGCCAGGTAGCTATCATTTTCAATCGCGGTGACACATGGTCTTAATCGGTTTTTTGAAATGAACGATGTATGTAATTAAAAGGTCGAGGCCCACATCATTTCACTCTTTGATTAGATCTCGCGTTAATTTTTGCAAACTCTTTTTAACCGGCTTTAAAGCAATAAAGCAAATATTTAGAACAATATTTCGTTTCGAGTACAAGTCATTATTGCCTATTATTATCTTGTCATTATTGTGGCATCGAGTTTGTCGATATGCATATATTCTTCACTCGGCTAATCTTTTCAAGATATTTTTAGATTTTACTATAGGTTTTTATTTTGAGAATGACTGAGCGAGCTAGAGAAGAAACAAGAGAAAGAGAGAGGGAGAGAGGGTGATAGAGAGAGAGAGAGACAGGAAGGAAGAAAAAGAGGGAGGGAGAGAAAGTTAGATCGAAGAAGGTTAAATAAAACATTAGTACATAGACATATACAGAGAGATAGAGAAATAAAGGAAGAGAGAGAGAAAGAGTGAGATGTAACAACAGAAGCAATGACTTAGTGAAATAGAGAGAAAGTGACAGAGAGAGAAAGCAGAATATGGAAGGACAAAATCATGCAGATAAGATAGAAAGATAGATAGCTAGATACAATTACCTAAAGAGATGATAGATAGATAGATGAAAAATAGAACGGCATATAGATAAAAAATAAAGATAATGAGAGAAGGGGCTGATTTTCTCTTGTACCAATGAATCTATCAAAAACAAAAAAATCATTTTAAATATTTTTTAGTCTAGTTTCAAATTTTCACCTTTTTTCTGGAGATAAATTATACATGACACCTCAGGCCCCACGTTCATATATATTACTTAACCCATCATCTTGAGGGATTTTCCACGCTGAAAACTATGGTGTATTTGGATTTTAAATTGGGCAAAAATTACAGTTATGGCAAAACGTTTGAAAGAAAAGCATTTAGTTTGTTCCCTTGTTAATTCAAATAATTTGCTTCTTCGCTAAAGTAAACATTTATTGCCTTTATTGCTTACATTCTGTCATTTTTTGTCAAACTCGCGTTTAGATTTCTTCAGCCTCCCAAATCGACATTAGTGCAAGGAACGTTGCACGTCTGTCATAATCAGAATCCCGAAGTCCCTGGACAAGATGAGAGCGATACGGTTTGTCCAAAGTCCCTAATTTTATTTTTTGAAAAAAGTTCCTTACGCAAATGTCGAGTTGGGAGGTTAAAGAAAACAGTGGGGTTGAGATAGGAAGTTAGTGTCCGAGTGGATCGAAGACACGATAGCTCAAGTGGTAGAGCAGCGGCGTATCCAGCCGAAGGTCGTGGGTTCGAATCCCGCTCGTGACACTTTTTTATCTCAACTTAAAACCTTAATTAATTGAATGATATTAATTGGTCAAGCGGACCACGAAAAATAGTTAATTTAATCATTTTCAATATTTATGTAAGGTATTGGTTGAGATAAAAAAGTCAGTGTCACGAACTGGATTCGAACCCAAGACCTTCGGCTAAATAATCGAAAGGTAAGTTGGTGTCCGAGTGGATCGAAGTCACGATAGCTCAAGTGGTAGAGCAGCGGCGTATTTAGCGGAAGGTCGCGGGTTCGAATCCCGCTCCTGACACTGAATTTTTTTATCTAAACTAAAATCCTTAATTAATTGAAATATATTAATTTGTCAAGCGGACCACGAAACTAGTGAAGTTAAAGAAAACGTTCTTCCATACATCTTATGGACTGATGAATCCACGTTCACCCCTAAAGGCATACTGTCGGAATTTTCGAAAGTGGGCAGAGGAAATTCCGAAAATTTCGTACTATTGTCATCATCAGGTGGTTCACAGTACAAACGTTTGGTGTCGACTTCTGTGAAATAAATTAATTGGGCCTTCTCTGAAAATAATTTAAATGGTGCTCAGTTCCTCATTTTTTTAAGGGAGGTTTTACCAACACTATTAAATTATGTTTCTCTATTTTCTAACACACATTCCATTTACACATAATGTGTTAATATTTTATGTTTTATTAAACCTTCTATTTTGAAAAGATGTACAACTTTATATGAGAGAGAGAGAGAGAGAGAGAGAGAGAGAGAGTGAGTGAGTGAGAGAGAGAATGAAAGAGAGAGAGAGATAGAGTGAGAATGAGAGAGAGAGAGTGAGATAGTCAACGAGAAACATCCTGTCCATTCTATATTGGAGTTCTGTTTGTGTGTGTGTGTGCGTGTGTGCGTGTTTCGGTATGAATCGCGATAAAAAAGTGCCCTTGAAAATAATTTCGTTTTGTGGGCGTTGTGTCGAAAGTTTCGCTATAACAGTGCCCTCCTTCCAGCCTCCGGCCCCCGGCCACGGTAAAACTGGACCCGCATGTTTTTCCAACTTGTACAAGTTGTTTGATAAAGCACTCAAAACTTTTTCTATAGTCGAGGGACACTGTTTTAATGAATGGTACAGGGTTGGCATTGTCGAGGGGGAAATTAATTCGGGCACGGTTGTCTTCCTTTTTCAACGGATCGTCCACCCCCAATTACAATTTTGCCCTTGAGCCCGTTTTAATTCAACTATAATAATAATTCTGAAATTTTTTTAAATATTTTTTCTTTTACATAACAAACAAATAAAATGACCCAAGATCTGCAGTAAAATTTCATAAAACAATTCATATGGTCCAAGAATCGTGGGATGTTACAGAAAATACCAGGAAAATAAACATATTTTGATGAATAGTTAAACTATACAGGGTGTCTTTTTTAACATGCGCCTATACGTTTTCCCTATTTTTTGAACAGAACAAAAAAGTAACCAATCAAAACCACCCTTACATTTTTTCACAGATTCCAAAACCGTCGTCAATTTTTATCAACGGAACCCAAAATTTGTATTTTTTTCTGAAACTATATTTTTTGTGAGAAGGATGTGTACCACAACTTTGGAACACCTCCAACATTGACGGCTCTAAGATTTTTTGAAAATATTAAAAACTAAGGATTCATTGGATTCGTGATAGGCGGTCAAGAATGAGATAGTTTAGAAAAATATCTTTTTCATTTTTTGCCTACGTTTCGACCTTATTCGTGTCCTCTTCCGAGCCTGAGTGAATTACAAAACATATGTTGATTTGAAAAACAATACAATACAGATTTAAATATAAACTTGGAACCAAGTATTTCATACTCACATAAAATGTGGTGCTATTCTTGTGGTGTCATATTGTCGTGAAATTGTCGTGAAACGTGAATTTATTTGGCTGTTTTTATATGATTGTAACAAACAAGCAATATTTAGATTCTTGATCCATCAGACAGTTAGGGGTGTTGGTGTTTTTGAAAAAAAGCCCATTTGTAAGTATATCGGGTTCGAATGCAGGGCCGCTGGATTCGAACCCGGGTCCTTTACCTTACAGTGATGAGCGCCGTATCGACCGTTGCGGCCACCGACGCCCCTCTATGTTTACCCTACTCTTTCTGAATATGGAAGATTGTTGGATAGATGCAATTGGGCTGTATTGGTGGAATACACATTGGTGTGTGGGAAGGATTATGTTTAATGATAACATTGTTTTATTATTATAATAAACGTTATTATAATTTTTAGGTCTTTTTTATTCTTACATGTATACTTATTTCCCTTCTTATTTTTATTCTTGTTTATCCTTATTTTTCTACTTAATCTATTTTTATTATGCTTATTGCATTTAACTAATTCATTATATTAATTTATATTTAGTTATTTATTTTATGTCAGGAAAATTTATACTTTTGTTATTCGTTTACAATAATTTATAATCAGAGAGGTTTATATTATTTCGCAGTTTATAAAATCTTTTATTTATATATTTTACTTTATTCTGTTATTATTATTCTTATCAACTATTATTAAATCCATTATATTAGTGGTCTGATTGACCATATCACTTCTTTCAATTATTTTTTGTATGTAAGGTCATGGTTGAAATGAAAAATTTAGGGTCACGAGCGGGATTCGAACCTACGATCTTCGGCTCAAAACGCCGATGCACTAACCATTTTTTTTTAATTTTTTTTTTAACCGTCCTTCCCCACCGTACTTACGGGAGACACTATTTTTATCACAGAAGTAGATTCAAGGAAAGAGAGAGATTTTAGTTTAAATAGGAATTAAATCAATCGTTCATCAAGTAAATAACATATTTATAAAAATATTTATATGTGTAATAAACATTATAAACTATAATTTCATATATTTAAATAATTCTAATAAAATTGTATCAGTAAAATAAATTTAAGGCTTATTTAAATAGAGAGAATGGTAAATGTTATGTAGGTAAAACAAGTTTGAAAGCATTTCTTACCATTAAAACAAAAAAATAAAGAAGAAGAAAGAGGAACATCAAGTTTGTACTTCTTACATTTTCACACCAGACTTCAATCACACTGACCAAAGTATTCAATATTAATCAGGGTTATTGAGGAAGAAGCCCTTCCATTCACGCTAATAAATTACATTCACATACCCGACTTCATTCAACTGCCCCTGAGTCCTTAATACTCCTCGAGGTCTCTACTTTTACGCTAATGAATTACGTGTGGTCTTTAGTGACCGTTAATTAATGATTATTTGGAGATCGTGAGGTACGGCCTGGTGGGGTCGTAGGTTTAGCAAAACATTTTCTTTATCGTGCCAACGTTTCGATCTTTATTGAGATCATCTTCAGTGCTCAAAGTGTTTGTTTTCTGTGTAGATGTGTCATTGTTGTGTGTTGTGTATAGGGAGTGGTGTGATGTATAATTGAGGTAGCGTATTCGTTATATCATATAAAAACATCTGAACATAAATTCGTTTCATAATTTCGCACACCAATATGACACCACAAGAATAGCACCACACTTTATGTGAAAACTTGGTTCGAAGTTTATATTTAAATCATATTGTATTTTTTCCAATCGACATATGTTTTGTAATTCACCCAGGCTGAGATGACCCGAATAAAGGTCGAAACGTCGGCAAAAAAATGAAAAAGTGTTTTTCTATACAACCTCATTCTAGACCGCTCCTCATGAATCCAAAAAATTATTTCACAAATAATGTTTATTAAACTCGATGAAAGTTCGCAGGACAAAATAAAATAATCATCGTAATTGTGTAAATAATCGTTGTTCTCCATTTTTATTTGAAAAATGATTGTTTTTACAGTTTTTTATTATTATTGTGTTTATCTATGGACCTCTTGCGGGGAAAAAATGAAAACTCGCATTTAATAAAAATTATTTACGCCATTTTCTTAATTGTTTAATATTCTTTTGAGGTGTTGCATAGTTATTGTACTCATTCTTTTAAGAAAAACTCTAGTTTCATAAAAGAATCCTTAAATTTAGGGTTCCCATTTGAAATAAAAAAGTGACGTCAACGATATTTGAAAAACATTAATTATGGCTTTGGAATCTGCGCAAAAACGTAAGGTGGGTTACCGTTGATCACTTTTGAATCTAATCTGTTCAGAAAGACACCATGTTTAGTGAATTGAAAATAGTATTCTGGTCTTCTTCTGCCATGTTTGACTATTATAATAATAATTCTGTTCATTTCAGGCCTACGGGGGTATAAGCGAACCATAGACATTGGTATTGTATTGGACAACAATTCTGTGCCTTTTTGTTTAAATTACAGTTTCATCGTGAAAATAATTGTTGATACTATGAATATGTGCCCAATTTTACGTTTACGTATAGAATCTGGAGCGAAAATGGGCCGCAATGATTTACAATCCGGCCGTGTAAATTGTGGCGGTTTCAACCTCTGAATTTACGGTCCGCGAATATTTGCCCATTTGCACCCTCTCAGGAGTATTGTTGAGCTTATTCCCGGTGGAAATCCCGGAATTATGGAGGCGCGCCGGCTGCGCAATCCTCTTTAAAAGCGCTCCAGGTTCTATCAAGTCGAGGATTTCCACACACGCCAAATTAACCAAGATTTAATTTTACTCACCGATATTCTTGAGCAGGAAGTGCGTAAAAGTCGCCGCGATGACGTTCCTGTCCCTGGACATCAGTTCGACCTTCGGCTGGCATCCATCGTCGATAATAAAAGACCCAAAAGACGTTTGGTTGTTCTCCGAAAGGAAATGGAACTGGAAATAGCAAACATTTATCTTCAGGCTTAAAACGCCCCTAGACTAATGAAAGAAAACACTCACTTTTGTTGAAGGACAAAGGCGGAACGTTATCAATCTTTTCGGTATGAATTTCAGAAGGAATTCCTTAATCGTCAGTTGTTTAGGTGATATATAAACCAAAACCTTGCGCGGTTTTAGAAATCTTTCCCCTTGGAAACTGAGCAGCTTGGCTTCGTACCAAGTATTGTGGTTTCGGACATTTTTCTGAACCAATCCGGCGTCATTCCCTATAAAACGATTAAGCAGTTATTAATCAATTAAGAACGTGAAATATGAAAGCTGGAAACCGCACTGGACCTTCCACCGTTACATATTTATGTGGAAAATGTGGCTTTGGAAAGTGCTAAAGCTTTTTTTGCCGGCAAACAGCTAGGTCATGGCAGGCATACATTTTTCCTCTTCTACATTTGGCACTTATAGCTGCAATGACCTAAGACACATCTGCATCCTTCATATACCATAATCGATATTCATTCATTACCCAACCAATAATTACTTACTACACGCTAATAAATACACTCATTCGTCTGTACACATGCCACATTATATAAAACTAAGAATAATTCTAAGGCCAAAGGGTACTCGATATTCCGCAGATGACCACAACTCTCATCCATCCCACAAGACTAGTACTAGAAACAGGTCATCTAGATACTGAAATATTCCGATGATTGGTCTGCTCTCATTTTCACCATTTCTCGAACCTATCTAAAGTACCCTTGCATCCTCATCAATCACGCTAATAAATACACTCATTCGTCTGTTCACATGCCATACTATTTACAATTAAGAATAATTCGAGGGCGACTGGGGTACTCGATATTCCGCAGATGACCACTCCTTTCATTCATGCCATAAGAAAATACTATAACAGGCCCTCGAGGTACTGAAATATTCCGACGATCGGCCTGATCTCATTCACACCAATTCCTGCACTTATCTAATGTAACCTTGCATCCATCATCAATCACGCTAATAAATACACTCATTCCTCAACTCACATGCCATACTATATACAATTAAGGATAATTCGAGTGCAACTAGGGTACTCGATATTCCGCAGATGACCGCTCCTTTCATTCATACCATAAGAAAATTCTATAACAGCCATCGAGGTACTGAAATATACCGACGATCGTCCTGCTCTCATTCACACCAATTCTCGTACTTATCTGAAGTACCCCGTCCATCATCAATCACGCTAATAAATACACTCATTCCTCAACTCACATGCCATACTATATACAATTAAGAATAATTCTAAGGCCACCGGGTGCTCGATATTCCGCAGATGACCACTACTTTCGTCCATACCACAAGACTAGTACTAAAAACAGGTCATCTAGATATTGAAATATTCCGATGATTGGCCTGCTCTCATTCACACCAATTCCTACACCTATCTAATGTAACCTTACATCCTCATCAATCACGCTACTAAATACACTCATTCGTCTAGTCACATGCCATACAATTAAGAAAAATTCGAGGGCTATTGGGGTACTCGATATTCCGCAGATGACCACTCCTTTCAGTCAGACCATAAGAAAATTCTATAACAGGCCATCGAGGTACTGAAATTCGGTTCCGACGGTCGGCTCTCATTCAAACCAATTCTCGTACCTATCTGAAGTACCCTTGCATCCACCATCAATCACGCTAATAAATACACTCATTCGTCTACTCACATGCCATATTATATACAATTAAGAATAATTCGAGTGCGACCGGGGTACTCGATATTCCGCAGATGACGACTGCTCTCTCCATACCATAAGACTAGAACTAGAAACAGGCCATGGAGATACTGAAATATACCGATGATCAGCCTGCTCTCATTCACACCAATTCCTGTACCGATTTAAAAAATACACTCATTCGTCTACACACAAGCTATACTATATACAAATAAAAGATCAATAGGGGGCCACCGGGGTACTTAATATTCCGCTGGTGACCATTCATACCAAAAACGACTAAACCTAGGTAACAGACCGTTGGATAAACTGGCCTGTTTTTATTCATACCCATTCATATAGCATTCTTGCTAATAAATGTATACATTCATAAAACGGGCAAATTGTAGGTGAAGTCATGCACTTGCACTACCCGTGTATAACGATGAGCTGGGTTATCGACCAGCTGGAAACATGAAGTTTTTCGGAGGATCTACGGAAGAGGTCAACACAGAGAAAATAAAACTTCTTTTCAGTTTTCGCCGCGCTTTCGACAGTTTTTATACTGTCATCTTCAGGGCCTGTTTTATTATCATATAAAAAAAAAAAAAAAAACAATTAAAAAACATGAAAAAACAATTGCACAAAAATTGAAAATTTGATATATCTTACTTTAACCTTAATGGGGAAATAAAAAGGAACATGGTGTCGTGGGCACCGAAGTACATTACGTTTTTTGGTGTTCAGCATCTAAACATTATTTAAAATTTGTTAACTTATTAAATAATGTTTAGATGCTGAGCACCAAAAAACGTAATGTACTTCGGTGCCCACGACACCATGTTTCTTTTTATTTCCCCATTAAGGTTAAAGTAAGATATATCAAATTTTCAATTTTTGTGCAATTGTTTTTTTTTTTTTTTTATTTTTTGTTTTTTTTTTTTATATGATAATAAAACAGGCCCTGAAGATGACAGTATAAAAACTGTCGAAAGCTCGGCGAAAACTGAAATGAAGTTTTTTTTTCTCTGTGTTGACCTCTTCTGTAGATCCTCCAAAACACTACTCGTATATATTCCGATAAATTCCACTAGTAGTCACTGTTATGCACCAAGATTTTCTTTACGTCTGGCCTGGGTAGGGGCCTATAATATTTCAGTTTCGCACAATCCACCAGTATGTCATGTACTATCATTGGCTCATCACACTGAGGGCTTCTTTGTCGACCACCCTTCAGAAAATAGTCATGGGTTAGACGCGAGTGGCCTATTTTCAGTCTTGTTAAGATCGTTCTTTCTTTTTCATTTTCTCCACAGGCCACTGTTTGACCGTGTCTTTAATATTTCTTAGTTTTTCTGTCATTTCAGACCAGAGGTTTTACCATTCTTCCTAACTTATATCATTTTCCTTTTAACGTCCGCTGGATTGACGGCGGTCTCTGAGCTTGTTGGGTCGCTCGTTTTGCTGCCTTGCCCGCATTTTCATTGCCCTGGATTCCCACGTGGCCCGAGATCCAGGCAAATACGACCTCGCGACTCTGACCCAGTCTACCTACCTTTTCATACGTGGTTTGTGTCAGCGGGGTTGTTACCATGACGTGTGGCGAACTTTCCAAGCTGGGCTTCATGCAATACAGCTTTGATATAAGTTAATAAAGGATAATATGAACGAAGCAGATTTACGTTCTTTCAGACAACTAGGCAGCCGTAAAGGTACTCAATGCTTAAGCTTTCAAACCAAGGCTTGTCTGGTGTGCCTAAATGGCGTATTGGCTTTTGGAAAACACAAAATTACCTACTTTATTTCGTTCAATTTCATCTTATATTTTTCTACCATTCTTCGATGAACAAGTGGTCATGGGATTGGGGTTCGTGCATTGCGGTATCGTCTACATAAAGATATGTTTGGGTGATTGTGTGATAACTGTGATAGTTGGCAGGGCGATTTAAGAGTGTATTGGCTGTTGAGCAGTGCAAAGGATTGGACTAAGAATGTTCCCGTGAGGAAGTCCAGCTTGAATCGATTTTACTCAGAAGCAGCGATCAGTATGATATGATTTAAGAATTATTATCAGTTGTAAATTTAATAAAAAAAATATATCATTTAAACAAAGCCTCCCAGAGCAAAATTAATAACATTTCGTTCGAATATTTGTTTAGTTTAGCTTTTTGCGTCTTTCAATCCCAGCAGATGTATTTCGTTTGAGTTTGGGGATCTTTTGTACATATGAATTTGCCAATGTACGGATCAACCTTTTTTCTAAAAAAAAGAAACAGTACAAATGGACCTAAGCTTATTTCAAAGGAGAAGGGGCTTTGGATAGGGGGACCATATTTGATCCGATAAACAATCGCCCTTTCAATACTACGATATAAAAACAAGGATTTACTGTTACATAAATTCCTTCTTTGAGCTCGGACTAAATTCGTCCAACTGGATTTTAATGCGAGCTGAAGATTTAAGTCCGATAGTGTATTAATTTCACTTTCGTCCGCCCTTGCAAAATAAAACTCACAACTAACAGTCTTTTTAAAGCTCTTTAATCCAGCTTAATCTCACTTCTCATTACCATAATGGCTTTTTCAGACTACTTGGATAATCCCACTGTTGCGTCCATACAATTAATTTAACGTCAATCGATTCATCCTTGTCAATTTTAGTGGTAAATAAAAATTAGAATTTATATTAATTGCTATACTGTAAAATTGCACTATTAAGTATAAGTACGATATAAACAAACTGTTAAGATAATTACTTCCGAAATTAATTGTTGTTTTATACACGATAATATTTCTTTAATTTAAACTTTTCGCTGTATTATCAGTTAAAAAATTGATCATTTTGTTATAGACTATCTAATATAATGATCTAGCTGATGAAAACGCTAGAAAAAATGCTGAGATTACACTAAATATAAAAGGCAAGGTAGCAACCTTTTTACGTTTTTTACACATCAGATACTACGTTTTTCGATTTTTATATTTTGAAAATCGTTACCCCCTTTTTAATTTCAAATTAACCTTTCTAAATTTCATATTACCTTTTTAATTTGCAATTACCTCTTTAAATTTCAACTTGGCTTTTTTAATTTCAAATTAACTTTTTAATTTCCAATTAACGTTTTAAATTTCAAATTAACTTTTTAAATTTCAAATTGCCTTTTTAATTTCTAATTAACCCTTTCTAATTTCAAATTAACGTTTTCTGTAAGCATTTAAAAACTTATGGGATGTAATAAATTTCCTGTACATTTTGGGATTTTTGAAATTTTCGGCAATAATCAGGCTTTTCGAAAATCATAAGAAAATTATTTAGAACTAAAATTATATACATTATTTGCAATAACTTGACTACAGTTATTTTTATAAACTCCTTTTCAAACAGTATTGTGTCATTTTTAATTCAGCAATAATNCTTTTTAATTTTGAATTTGTTTTAAATCTAACATCTATAATACCTCATGAAAATTAGAAAATTAATTGCAATTAATATTAAAATTTATATAAAATTAAATAAAGGATATTCTTTTTAATGTTGAATTTTTTAAAATGTAAAATACTTAATGAAAATTAATTGCAATTAATATTCGAATTTATATAAAACTAAATATAAAAACAAATGTCTGTTCTATTAATTTGAGATTTTTTAAATAAATAATTGGTCTATAAGATAATTATTTATATCTTTAAAAAAGCAAATCAAATTTTTTATATTTAATTTCATAAAATTTTGAATTTTTATTGATGTGAGAATTTCATAAATTCAATTAAATTGCAAAACATCTCAGAACACAATTAATTTATTTTTATTTTAAATTTGCAAATATTACAAGAATTTTAATTCTTTAAAGAAACGATTAATTTGAAGTTGAAAATGCTTAATTTGACGTTTTAAAGGGTTAATTTGATGGAAAAAATGTACCTATATTACACTACTTGACTTGGCGTCCTTATAGTTTGCTGAAGACGATTTCTATAAAAACGTTATTTTTTTAAAGCCGGTTATAACAACTATTTTGTAAATGAAACTCCAACCAGCAAAATTATCAAAAAACTATAAATGAAACACGGAATATTATAAATCCAAATAAAATTGGGCATAAAACCAAGGATAAATTCTGTGTGAACTGTTTTGAAAATTTGAATTGATAACTTCTGGCTCTATCTTGGACAAAACTCTGTAAAGGGTAACATTACAATCCCTAATAAATATTTATACTTTTCGATAGGGAACACAGAAGTAAAAACTGGAAGAAATAAACTTAATTTTTTTAATGGTGGACTTTTTTCTCAAAATCTACTAAATAAGTTCTACTTCTTTTTCTTTTAATTATTTAAAAAATGACTTGGGTGATTTTATATTTAACGTTTTTAAATAACAATCCATAAAACAATCATAAAATCATTAAAAAAATAAATTGCTTTGCAATTCCCATGCATCCCGAAAACAACAAGGACTTTAATTTTGAACAAGTTATCAATTTCAGGACAGATTTTTCGTCTATTTCTTCTTTTTTTTAAATCTCTTAGAAAATGTCGGAGACGATTTTGTACCCAAGGTTGTTTTTAATAAAAGTACGTGAAAAAATCGAGAAAATAAAAAATTGCATAAAATTTGTGTACACTATAAAATCTATATTTTGTAAATTTTCAAATCATTGTTCCTTAGATGAAAGGACCTTGGTTGGGTGCACCCGATAATTTTGAACAAGTCAATAATTTTTGGACTGATTTTTCGACTATTTCTTTTTTTTTAAATAACTTATATGTCGGAGATGATTTTACATACAGGTTATTTTTTAATAGAAATCCATGGAAAAATATTTCTGGGAAAAAGGTACACTGCGACAATTTTGAACAATTTAATAATTTTAGTACTGCCTTTTCGACTATTTCTCCTTTTTTTAAATCACTTAGAGTATGTGAGGGATGATTTTATATGCATTTTTTTCTTTAAAATAAAAACCGTGAAAAATTGAGATAATAAAAAAGTGTGCAAAATTTGTGGACCACGAAAACTATATTTTGTAAATTTTCAAAAATCCCTGTATGAAATCGGTGTTCCTTAGATAAAAGGTCCTGAATAATTTTGTAAAAGTTAATAATTTTAGAATTGATTATTCGTCTATTTCTTTTTTTTTATTTTAATCACTTAGACGATATTCGAGATGATTTTATATACATGTTTTTCTTTAAAATAAAAATCCGTGAAAAAATAAAAAAGTACATAAAATTTGTGTAGACCAGAAAAACTATATTTTGTAAACTTTTCAAAATTCTCTGTATGCAATCGTTAATCCGGTAATCAAGGCAGTGTACAAACTAATGATTTTGGGACTGATTTTTCAACTATTCCTTTCTTTTTAAAAATATTTCCACTTTATTGATTGTAACTTATTATAGTTCAATAATTTTGTAACTTATTTTAGTAGTTTTAGCCACTTACCGCTTAATACTATGCAGTCAAATAATCCGTTTGAAAGAGTTGTTCCCGAATAAGAGACTTGAATTTTGAAACATCCTTCTTTGGCCAGCATCATGCCGAGCATAATCCTCCCGGAATTTTGATCGTATTCCAAGCTCCAAGCCGCATCGGTTTCTTCGGCAGGTACTCCGATCTGAAGCAAAAGTCGTGTCACACTCGGAAGTTCAAATTTTAAATTCTTTAACAATTCTTTAACACTCACCGGATTTATGGAAACTGTATATCCGACGGTGGGGTTTTCTTCTTCTGAAAACTTGCACAGGTTGTTGAATTCGTCCCTCGGCTCGAGGGCGAGGCTGTGCGGCAGACCGCACGTGCAGATCACCGTCGAAGAGGGTCGAACGAACGTCGTCTTCACCGGGTCCGGCGGCCCTGAAAGCAAACCGTCAATTTTGTCCAGTTGAATTGTCGAATTATCTTTCCCACCTGGAAGGAATGTCTTGAGGAAAGGGCTTCCGTTAATGTGCGTGTTCCCGATTAGAATTGATATCCGGTAATGGCCCGCATGTCGAACTGTGAATTTGACGACTGCCGTGTTCACGCTGTGCGGCTCAGTGCCGCCGAGCTCAACGAGGGTTGCCACCCTCCGATGACCCTCGCTCTCGCTGACATCAACGACGAGGCGATCCGTGTCGCAGATCGGATAAGGCTGGCCGTTTCTTTGAAAAAACTGCAACAAAAAGAACGATCACATATCAAATCTAACATCGGATATGCTGAGGACAATTTATAAACAGATCAGACTTTTTTAGAAAAATGCTTATGTTTTAAACAATGTTAAGTACAGCCTTACTACCAAAAAATGGAAAACAACAAGATTCATTTTTTAATAAATATACCAAGTCCTACCTTGAACTGATCCTTCAGGATAAACCATAAATAACGATTAAAACGTCGGTGTCACGAGCGGGATGCGAACCCACGACCTTCAGCTAAGTACGCCGCTACTCTACCACTTGAGCTATCGTGACTTCGATCCACACAGACACCAACTTCCCACCACAGCCCACCTTTTTTTTAATTTTCCCTCCTTTTTGCCATTTTTCAAATGTGTAATCTATTTGATTGACCACAAAATTTAATGGATTTAATAAATAAAATGAAGTATCTTCACTAAAGCTCTCCGTGGCCATTTCATTTGTCGCCGAGAATCAAATAGATTACACATTTGAAAAATGACAAAAATGAGGGAAAGTTGGGGTGGGAAGTTAGTGTCCGAGTGGATCGATGTCACGATAGCTCAAGTGGTAGAGCAGCGGCGTATTTAGCCGAAGGTCGTGGGTTCGAATCCCGCTCGTGACACTGACTTTTTTTATCTCAACTAATACCTTACATAAAGATTAATTAATTGGAAAAAGTTATTCGGTCAATCGGACCACAAACTCTAATGGATTTATAGCTAAATTAAATTCACTAGTTTTCGTGGTCCGCTTGACCAATTAATATCTTTCAATTAATTAAGGTTTTTAGTTGAGATAAAAAAGTCAGTGACACGAGCATGAAAAATGGCAAAAAGGATGGAAAATTCAAAAGGTGAGGTTGAGATGGGAAGTTGGTGTCCGAGTGGATCGATGTCACGATAGCTCAAGTGGTATAGCAGCGGCGTATCTAGCCGAAGGTCGAGGGTTCGAATCCCACTCGTGACAATGACTTTTTTTCTCAACTAAAAACCTTAATTAATTGTTAAATTGAATACTGTACACAATATTTATATATTTATTAATAGTTGTTTTGTGCTATAAATGGGCTATTCACATATATTAAACTAAATTATTTGTTACATTTTGAGAAATTGTTTATATATGTACGATTGTTTATTGTATTGTTTTTTTTTGTTTTATTTGTAGATGATTTAATATATGATTCAATGCCTCTTATATATATTATATACATATTATGCGTGCCAACTTACGCAGACAGATGATATCTCAAATGTGTATATGCTTTTTATACAGTTCATGTTTGTATGTTGTTATTTAAGGGAAAAAAAGAAAAAGCATTTCTATTCTATTCTACGCTCATAAAGTTTGTTATTTGTCGTTAAAAAATGTCAGGGACAGGGAAATACATTTTTATGAATTTAGCATAGTATAAACGCAAGCTTCGGAGCGATATTTATGAAATAAGATAATAAACTAGCTTTATGTCCACAGGTATTGGGATAATTTAAGCACAAATGTTGAGAACTCTTAGAACATGAAGTTAATTTAAATGTAAATACATACAATTCAATTCTATAGTTTCTCCGTCTTTTGCAGTAAATTTGCTTTAAGTAAATATCGCAAAGGTTGTATTTCTTTCGCAAAAGCATTTATATCAATATACTTTAACACGCCACAAAACATAAGGCCAGGGTCGAAGTAAATTACAGCATTATACATAATAACCGAGGGTTTCCCTGAGGAAGTGAGTGAAGAAAACGAATAAAAATTGCCGGGAATAGAATGGAATTATTGATGGCCGGCTACGTGAGGTCAGCGGAAAGGTGATAAGAAAGAAAAATTGAATTCTCTTTCAAACATAAATTCACCCCCCGGCCATTACACGCGGGATAAATGCTACATTTTTCATTTTCGTTTGGAGCCCGGGTATTTAACCGCGGACATAAGGGTTGGAAAACCTTCTTTACTTAATTAAATTATATACAGGGGGAGGAAAATATATATTATTTTGTTCGGTAAACACTCGGGATGAAATTACGTTCGTCCAGGGCAATTATGGGCAGAATGCCGATGGAAATCGATCATCCGCGGTCCGCCTGTCCGAACGTTCCCGATGAGTGCGGAAAGAAATAAATTACCGCCCTGTTCTTCCTCCGTCAGGATTAATTCTCACACTTGCTCCACATGGGGCGTAAGGCAGCCCTGGGTGGATTGACTTGTCACCCGGGTAATGAATAAACCATGCCGATGGGTCTTCCAGGCAACTCAACATGTTCTGTGCGGTTTAACTAATCTACATCTAATTGGGCCCAGCGATGTACCGCAGATCCAAGTTTCTAAATTCAACATCCCTTCCTTTAATTTATCCACCCTTAGTAACAAACTGTATTTTGCCATACCAAGAATCACATCAAGATCAAGTTTAAAGTTTATTATATTAAAACTTTTTACAAATAAACTAAGATTTAATAATTATTACGCACAATACATTTAAAAACCAAATATATTTATATAACCGACCTATAGTCGCACAGGTCTCAGCTAACAAAGCAAAATCGTCCCGGCATAGATGGAGTCATGGACAACAACGCAATCTACATTCCTGACCTCCACCGTCTAACACTTTTTCCGAGCAATGTCAGTAACACTTGTCTAAAAAACAAAGCGGAATATTTCTGCAATAATGATTAATACCTTCTACCAAAGCCCAGGATTTACTTCTAAACTCACTTCATAAAGGAATAATAGCATAGTTTTCATCTACAAGCCAGAACTATTCAGAAATAGATGGATAGACTGGCAGACTACAATCCGCAAACTTTATCCTGACCTCCTTCAAACTAACACCAAGAAAGCTGAATCTTTCTCGCAAAGATCGGGCCTCACCTTTACGGACAACCACCTTTTCGGGTGCAATGCCCGCACATTGCTCGTACATGCAAAGCTGAACCTTTCCAAAATAGATGAAGTCGACCTTCTAAAACTTAGGCTATAGTTATGAGCTCTCTTCATCAAGCAATATTCGCACACTTCTCAACTTCAATTACCTTCTGTATTATACAGCTTGCATTACCTTCTACCACAGCCCAAGATTTACAGCAGACCATAATCCGCAAACTTTATCTTGACCTCGTCATACATCATCAAGCGACTATTATAGTACATAGCAATATGCTAGGTCCTCACTCCTACAGACTACCACCTTTTCTGGAGCAATGTCCCCACTCTGCATAACATCCAAAGCTAAACCTTTCCAAATAGACGGAATCAACCTTCTAAAACTTAGAACAAATAAATGGGTAGCTAAACTAGCTTTACAACCCGTAGATTTTATCATGACCTTCTTTAGGCTAACACCTCTTCCGAGAAGTGGTGCAAAGAAGAATACTCCACAATAGAAGGAGTATTTAGTCCTAAATTATAAAGTGAGTTTACTATACTCAATTTATCAGGCTATAGCACAGGTCTCAGCGCAAAGCACAATTTTTCCGATATAGAAGGAGTCAAGCTATTGTATTTCAACGCAATTTTCAATCCTGACCAAGCCAGCACATAAAAAGGTTATTACATTTTTTAAACACTCTACGATAATTGAGAAACTCTACTCAATCATTGACCCGACCACCAAGAATTATTATTAAATATATTGCAACTTATGAAGATGACAATATTCATCAACAAAACAAACAAAAATATGTAAATTGGGTTAAATGTGTTTAAACTTGATCTCTGAATTATCTTCTAACAAATTAAAATGGATTTGTCAAAATTTATCACTCTCGGGTCCCTTCTTTGATCTCTACGGAATATCTGGCGCCGGTTTAAATTGTTTTGAAGGGTTTGCCAGTATTTCTGTTAATAATAAATAATGTTCTTTAACAAGATTAAAGTAGTGCTTTATTTAATTAATGACTTAATAGTCCTCCGGTGTGGGAATGGAGTCGATGATTTATTAACTCGACAGCGATTAGTCGTGCTGTTGTCAATGAAACAATAATAATTTAATTGTTACGCAATCAAACTCATTCTCCCTCAATTGGTCAATATTGACCTGCCCCAATCTAGTACTATTTTCGTTTTAATATATATAAATAATTAAAATTGGACGAATTTGAAAGACTTTGAGGCCAGTTCTGTAGCTAAGGATCGATCGGATTCTTGAGGGTGTTCTTGAACAATTAGCCAAATATTTAACCAGCACTTAATTGAAGTAACGGCTTGAAAGTACTTTCGTGTCACTTAATCGATCGTTGATTTATTATCTTAGGGTGGGGCGATGTCGTGTTGTTCACTCGACCCTATTGCCATCAAGTTGAAAGGGGGTGATAATCTATCTCTTTCCATAATCAACCCTGTTCCAACATTTTTGAACATAGAAATTAAGTCGGTGAAAAATTTGGTTTAATCAATGTAAAATATGTATTTATATATATTTTTTAAAGAGGGCTACACTTTTATCTCTTGATTGAAATTTTTTGGTTTATAAAAATTTTTTTTTATTAATGTTTAATATTACCTGTTTAAAAGTAACATAATTAAGTAATTAATAATGAAATAAAACCGACGTTCAAATCGTGGGCTATGGATAAAACGGGAAAACAAACGATCGCATTGACCCGCCTGCGAACAGGCCACACCAGGATTTACGTGGCTTTTTAACTGTAAAACTTATACTGACAGAGTACGAGAAATTAGCGTGGAATAAGTTGTGGCTTGCCTGCAGACTTTAAAAAAAACTTTTAAACGCAGTAGTTATTAAGAAGTTGAAACACCGTAAACATCATGCTTCGGATAACTATTTAATCTATGATATTAGATCCAAAATGAGTTATATACAAAAAACAAAAAGATGAAATTTGTATGGGTGCGAGCACACGATGGAATAAAAGAAAATGAAAAAGTGGACACTGGTGTAAAATGCAATAACTATGTCGAACGCGCTGTTTAAGTCTCCTTATGCAGAATTTATAAGCGGTCTGAGGGCAAAAGGTGCTGAAGCATGGAATCAGCGATATAAGGAGTCCGAAAAAGGAGGATTTTACCAGCAACTGCAACCACATCCGCAGACAATTGGATGGTTTGAAATGGAACAAACTAGCAAAGCTTTGACCAAAATTATAAATCGACTCTAATCCCAGCATGTCATCTTCAACCACTATTTAAATAAAAAAACTTAAAAGGTGCCTAGCCAATTTTGCGGCAAACCGGAAACTATGGATAATGGAATGTCTAAAATATATAGCAAAAAGGAAGGCTCTTTTTCAAAGAAATAAAAAAAATGATAGGTATCCCTTTTAGTTATAAAACAATTCTAGCATCAAAAAACATAAGCGTACAAGGCGCTCACAAAAATTTTGAAAGAATTAAAAAGGAGGTTTCAAGTAATTTTCAAGAATAAAAAAATATTATCTTTAGTGACTATGGTTTACAACCTAATGCCAAAAATACTGATATGGAGCGAATGTATTTATTAGCGTGAACGTTACATTATCTCGGGTTGAGTTTATGATTGTATACCTAGTACTCAAAGGCCATACCAAAGAAGTCCAGGGTAATAGTCACTGACGAAATATCAAAAAACCTGTCGACTACCTGATATAAGAGAGGTTATGTATGACACGGTCTGTGATGGAATACTGAGTACTAACAGACACATTAAAGATGTCAGTGTTATTTAATTTTTCATATATTTGCGGTTTGATACGGTGAAGTTACTGGCGTGAAATCAAAAATTGGTGACTATCCAATTGTGTGAATGTATTTATTAGCGTGAGTGCTTGTGTGTGTTTGTGATCATAGTCTGTGAAAGAATATCGAGTAAATAAGTCTGGGTTATTTAATTTTACATATATTTGCGGTCTGATACGGTGAAGTTACTGGCGTGAAATCAACGATTGGTGACTATCCGATTGTGTGAATGCATTTATTAGCGTGAGCGGTTGTGCGTTTTTGTTAGCACGGTCTGTTAAAGAATATCGAGTATGACACGGCAAAGAAGTCTGGGTTATTTAATTTTACATATATTTGAAGTTTGATAATGGGTAGTCACTGGCATAAAATCAAAAATCTGTGACTATATGATTGTGTGAATGTATTTATTAGCGTGAGCGGTTGTGTGTGTTTGTGACCATGTTCTGTGAAAGAATATCGAGTATGACACAGCAAAAACGTTTGGGTTATTTCATTTTACATATATTTGCGGTTTGATAGGGTGAAGTTACTGGCGTGAAATCAACGATTGGTGACCATCCGATTGTGTGAATGCATTTATTAGCGTGAGCTGAAGTGTGAAAAGAGTGAAAATGGGGGAAAATTTATTGTTATATATGCATTTGTAGTGTAATAAGGGTGTAGACAAGTTGTAATATCAAAAAATGTTGACTAACAGATTGGTTAAATGTATTTATTTGCGTGTGCGGTTGTGTGAGTGTGTGTGCTGTGAACATGGTTTGTGATGGAATATCATGTGCATACTCAACAACACGGCAAAGAAGTCTTGGTTTTTTTAGTTGTGTATGTATTCGCGATTTAACAGTGTATTATCAAAAATCCTGGTGACTAACCGACTGTGTGAATGTATTTATTTGCGTATACGGTTAAGTGTGTTTGACTCGTTATGTGATGGAATATCGAGTACCCACAGGCAATTTGATTAACTAGGACTGTGAATCCCGTAAATTATACTCTGTATGAATGTATTTATTAGCGGGAATGCCGGCCTCCTACTAAAGTTTAGCGTGTGGGTGAGGTTTCTACAATAAATCGAGAACTCTTGAGCCCCGCCTAACATAGATTAGGTTATCGTTTTAATATTACGTGAATTTTAGTCCACACCCACTGGCCATAATCCTTATAGAGAGGCGTTACTATACATTTTTTTTAGGACATCCGGGAAGTAACCCTGAGCAATTTCAGTTGCAATACTTTTTACAAAATTGTTGTTCATTCCATAATAATCTGTTGCATTAGAGGTTTTAGAGGTTTGGTTAAGATCTTTCAGCAGTTTTTTTGGCACCTCAATGATTTTTTTTGGGCACCTGTCCCACCTAAAGCAAAAAAAATTTAAAAAAAACAGGGTCATCTTTCGCCCTGGACAAGGCGGAAAACTATCCAAACCAAATGAAAAAAGGGCAAAATAACAAATAATAATAATAAAAAATAGGGCCTTCTTTCGCCTTGAACAAGGCGGAAAACTATCTAACCCCAAAGAAAAGGACACCTTTTCAAAGGATTGAAAATAAAACAAAAAAACAAAGATGACACCTGGTCCAACAGGACACCTTTGATTTTCATTCATGATTTTCCAACATTCTTTTGACTAGTTTTCAGCCTAAATATACTATACTATACTTTAATTAACTCTATTAAATTTGAATTTTGTACCTGCTGAAAATAGTTAACTGTATACCATTGTTCGTAGCGTAAGTTATTGTTATTATATAATAAATATTTCCTAAATAAATAGAACATAAAAAAATTGCTTTGCTACAGAGATATTTTACTGCTTTCTTGTATACATATTCAATTAGCCCATTCTGACGATTAAAGATTTGCAGGATTTTTTTTTAAATTTTATTAACACCACTGACCAAAATAAACCCCTAATCAAATGGAAAATGTTCAAATAAAATATTTTAGACTTTTTAAATTTTTCCAAGGTAAACGTAGTCATGAACAAAAATCAATATTCATTGAATCATTGAACGAGTTTTTTGTTTTTTAAAGAATGATTTTAAATCTGGACCGATGATCAGGAGATAAGTTTATCAATTTTTCAACGTGTGTTTACAAAGATTTGATGTTGTTTTGCTAGCAAAGGAAGCCTGGTTTCAAAACCAAAACATACCTAGTCGGGATTAACTTTTTCCCTTGTTCATTCGTGAAAGTTGATAGAATTAATTTTGTTAAATAATTAAGGTTTTTTTTATTAAGAACCCTAGTGGTATGTCCTTTAGTTTGCTTAAATATTAAAAATTATAAACTTTGTTTGATTTTTTTAAATTACTTACCGATATAGTTAGCGACAAGGACTGGCCCACTTGCTGCGGGTCTTCCCAGTGGAACTGGACCGTCGTGTTTCCCGTATGGAGGTACTTCCCGGTCACGTACTGCAGAAGGGAGTGCTTCGCCTCAGGAGCCAGGGACGGCTGTGTCATCGCGGCCAAAGTCACCAGGCCTGCGACACTCACCGATACGACAAGCATGCCTCCTGTAAAAACCCGTCTGGATAACATTGTTTAACAAAAAAGTCAAATTTAAAAATGGATTTTTTAACATAATGGCCATTTTTGTCCTGATTTTTTCCAGATCTTTCTTTAAAGGTTGTGGTTTGTTACGAAGCAAAGTTTTCCATTTACAAGTAAGTTTTTTATTTTTACGGCCTGAACTCTTTTTCTATTTATGTCTCAGTTGACCTATTTTTTCTAATTCATTTTAAATTTGATAAGTATATTATTGTTTTGTCTTAAGTTTTGCAACAATAAACAGGTTACTTTTATGAAAGGGTATGACAACAAATCTTGTAGGCTTATTTTAATTAATTTAATTTTTAAGCTAATAAAGCGTTAATTTTACAAGAATCATCGAATCAAAATATAAAGAAACATAAACGTGCCATATGCATCAATTAGACCGAAAAAAACTTGGAGTATATCCATGTAATGTGCTGGAAAGTATAACACGATGTTGAACATAAGGCAAAAGGGGTTGATTAAAGCTTTTACAAGAGATATAACCGGGCTTGTGGTAATCCAGGGGACGGTATTAGCGGGAAAACAACGGCTTCTGCCTGGAGTAGATTTAATGGGGCCTGTTTTTATATTATATATCGCCCTTAATGGCCGGCTAATCCACCGTTAATCCGGCATATTGCCCTCTCCCGATTAAAATAAGTCTTAATCTAAATTGAAAATTTTCCAGAAATTACTGAATGTCCAGGCGTCTTGGTGGTGGCTGTTTTTGACGACGGCGCTCCACAATTCGGCCTTCAGGGAGTTCAGGTCTTCCTTGGACACGGGCAGAGCTTGTCGGGCGGTGCTCCAGGTCGGAAAGTCCTTCCCGAGGAGGAATCTCGCCCTGGAGTCTTCGAGCCAGTAGACGTCTTCGAGGGACGTGACATCTTCCTGGACCAGCCTGGAGCAAAAAGAAAAAAAAAGTTTGAAACTGAACCGATTGTCGGTTTAATTTCCAGCTTTTTACTTTGAATTTTTATGACCTCTCTGTTATAGCTTATACAACATATCTTGGCACTGAGAAAGGTCAAATTTAACCAAAAGCTTGATATTTGAAAAGTATCTAACTGGGTAACCACAACATAAAATTATCTATTCAATAAAATTGAAGTCATTTCATGTAAAATCATAATTTTTTAAAACCCTACTGCATTAATATAGAAGAAATCCAAACAAACCATTATCCATATTCCAATATCAGTATAAAACACGTATTTATTTACTGTCGGATCATGTCAAACAAAAATAAAATTATTTTCATAAATAAACGCCTACAACTATTATTGTTGAATAACTTATGGTGATGGTTTTATAATATTGGTACATATTTACTGTGATATACAATACTATGGTACGACTTAGGATATACTTGGTTAGTATTTGTAATGGTGGTAATTTATACTGTACGTTTTAGATTATATTATTGAATGTAATTTATTACTGACAGAAATGATGACCCATCCCCGAGGAATTAGAAGTACCTGGAGTGTAAGATATTAACGAGAACGGAGTGGGTTCAACCCGGTTATTAGCGTGAAAGGAAGGGGTTGTTTAACCCCGCCCCGAGGAATATTGAGTAAACTGGGGTGAGTGTGTGACATCTGGAGAATAAAAGTAGGTTATTAGCGAGAATGGAGTGAGTTCAAATCCTCCCCAAGAATATCATGTACTTTGAGGGCGTGAATATGACCAGACTTCTAGTTGGCATCGGTTTTTGTGTTTATGTTAATATATTGGAATGAATATAATTTACTAGCGTGAAAGGAAAGGTTTGTTTAACCACGACCCGAGGAACATCAAGTACTCTGGAGGAGTGAATTTGACCAGAGTTCTATGTTCGTATCGGATGTTGCGTTTATGTTAATTTATTGGAATGAATGTAATTTATTAGCGTGAAATGAAAGGGTTGTTCAACCCTGCCCCGAGGAATATTGAGTAATCTGGGGTGAATGTGTGACATCTGGAGAGTAAAAGTAAGTTATTAGCGAGAATGGGGTGAGTTCAAATCCTCCCAAGGAATAGCATATACTTTGAGGGAGTGAGTATGACCAGAATTCCATGTTCGTACAGAATGTGTTTATGTCAATTAACTGGAATAAATCTAATTTATTAGCGTGAAAGGAAAGGTTTTTTTTTAACACCGCCCCGAAGAATATCGTGTACTCTTGGGGAGAGAATATGACCAGACTTCTATGTTTGTATAGGATGTTGGGTTTTTGTTAATTTATTGGAATGAATGTAATTTATTAGCGTGAAAGGAAGGGTTTGTTCAACCTCGCTCCGAGGTACAACGTGCACTCTGAAGAATTGAATGTGACCAGACTTCTATGTTCGTATCGGATGTTGTGTTTATGTTAATTTATTGGAATGAGTGTAATATATTAGCGCGAAAGAAAAGGTTTGTTTAACCCCGCCCCGAGGAATATCGAGTATTATGGAGAAGTGAATTTGACCAAACTTCTATGTTTGTATCGGATTTTGTGTTTATCTTAATTAATTGGAATGAATCTTATTTATTAGCGTGAAAGGATGGGCTTGTTCAACCTCGCTCCGAGGTACAACGTGTACTCTAGAGAATTGAATGTGACCAGACTTCTATGTTCGCATCGGATGTCAAAAAAGTCAGTGTCACGAGCGGGATTCGAACCCACGATCTTCGGCTAGATACGCCGCTGCTCTACCAACTGAGCTATCGTGACCTTTGAAAAATGGCAAAAAGGGGGGAAAATTCGAAAGGTTGGGTTGAGATGGAAAGTTAGTGCCCGACTGGATCGAAATTAATTAAGGTTTTTAGTTGAGATAAAAAAGTCAATGACACGAGCGGGATTCGAACCCACGATCTTCGGCTAGATACGCCGCTGCTCTACCACTTGAGCTATCGTGACTTCGATCCAGTCGGGCACTAACTTCCAATTTCAGCCCAACCTTTCGAATTTTCCCTCCTTTTTGCCATTTTTCAAAGGTCAAGATAGCTCAGGTGGTAGAGCAGCGGCGTATCTAGCCGAAGATCGTGGGTTCGAATCCCGCTCGTGACACTGACTTTTTTATCTTAACTAAAAACCTCAATTAATTGAAATTTATTACAAACTTAACAAAATAATTTATAATTATAAACTATAAAACTAAAATAATCGAAACAACTCTTCCATTGTTGATTTTCTATAAAAATAGTGAGGTTGTCAAATGTGTACATAACAGATTTCAGACTTTAGATAACTGTATATCTCTTTCTTTGACAGTACTGCAGAGATAGTACTTAATGTGAGTAGGAACCATCTTTTTTAAAAAGGATTGAACTCCACTCTCACCCTTTCATTTATAATTTCTGGTACTGCAAAGATGTGTATGAAATGGTTTATGTTCTTTATTTAAGATTGCAAAGATTATTGTTTGTCTATTATGGGAGACATGGAACTAAAAAAACTTCTTATGTAGTATATAATACATTTATGTTTTGTAGTCTAATTGACCAAATTACTTATTTCATTTAATTATTCGTTTTATGTAAGGTCTTGGTTGTGATGAAAAAGTTAGTGTCACGAGCGGGATTCGAACCCACAACCTTCGGCTCAATATGCTGCTGGTCTAACCACTTGAGTCGAAGTCACGAGAGCTCAGAGGCATTTTATGTAAGGTTTTAACTTAGTTAAATTAATAAAGCTCATTAAGGTTTTATCCTTGACATCATCACTTCCGAAGAATCAATGTTTCTTTGGAATTGTGACAATTATCTTGAATCGTTCGAAAACCCGTTTTGGTATGTGAAACACCACGACATTAACAGGCAAACGTAAAGCAAAGTAAACGTTTGAACCATCGGTAAACATTGGCCGCAAATTGCAAAACGACATCGACAAAACTAAACCGACAGACGACAACGTACACATCATTACAGGCCTAAACAAACGACGTACAAAACGGAAAGGAACTGGAAAACATGGAAATAGCTTCATCTCTGAACGATTAAACATCATCTGTACACTGTTTAGGACTATTATCAAATATCATATTGTAAATAAATTAACAAAACTGACATAAAATATTTATGAGTTTGTATTCAATGAAAGAGATTAATAATACGAAGGAGGAAAGATGGCCGGAAGATTTTGATTGGTTTCAAACTAGATGAAAACAGTTTATTCAAGAGTATACATTTAAATTGTTAGGAAGGTGTGGTGATTAGTGACCGTTAGTCGAGGATTATTAGGAAATCGTGAGAATTTTTATTGTTTGTAAATTAATGTATACATGTTTTCTTTTTCTTTTTTTTAATTAGAAAGATTAACTTTATTTTAATTTTTTTTCTTTTTCTTCTTTAAACCATTTTTTTTCTGAGGAGATCCACGTAGTTACCATAATGTATTTGTTAAATTTAAACAATGTTTGTAAATCCCAGGCACTGAAGATGATCTCAATAAAGATCGAAACGTTGGTACGATAACGAAAATGTTTTTCTGAAACCTACCTCACCCCAGACCGCATCTCACGATTTCCGAATAATCATTGTTAGGAAAGTTTTTTTTTGTATTTCAATGTGCTGTAAAAAACGCGGGGAAAAACCTCTCGGATAAAAAAAAAACATTTTTTCTCTCTCTTCTCTTCTTGGGTCGACCACATGAATACGTGGTTTTAGATTTCTGTCTTCTGATCTCTCCTAAATTAATATTTTATATCTCAGCTGAGTGTGATTTGTGAGTAAAATCTTTATCATAAATTTTTATTGTTTGTAAATTAATGTATATATGTTTTCTTATTTTTTTTAATTAGAAAGATTAACTTTATTTTTTATTTTTCTTCTTTAAATCCTTTTTTTTCTGAGAAGATCCACGTAGTTACCATAATGTATTTGTTAAATTCAAACAATGTTTGTAAATCCCAGGCCCTGAAGATGATCTCAATAAAGATCGAAACGTTGTCACGATAAAGAAAATGTTTTTCTGAAACCTACGTCACATCATTTCTCAACCACATCTCACGATTTCCGAATAATCATTATTAAGAAGGTTTTTTGTATTTCAATGTGCTGTAAAAAGTAAAATAATTTAGACTATTTCCACTAGTTATTGTAAACTTTAACGCCAATGAGAGCAAAAGTATGTCATATCTCAAAACGAAGGAACTCGGGTTTAAATTTCTTTTCATCCCGCAGGTATTTTTCCTCGTGTTTCCAGCGCCATTTCGAATTAAAAGGCGGCCCTAAGCTGCTTTTGTCCTTTGAAGCTTTAAACACGATTCAGCGAAAAGGCCGACTTTTAGTCTAGTGCTGGGAATGGACTAAACGTCGTTTAATCCCCGGCCATGGTTTTCATTCATGAAAAACAACGAAGACAATAAATCCCAGTTTAATAAAATACATCCTAATAGACGACACTGCTGATTCTTGCGTTCACATAATACAATATTTATCTTCCCAAATTTATTTTTTTAAATATTGCAATCGCAATTAACTAAATATATTGCCTAAGTATTTTTGGGAGAGAAAAACGTAAAAGTAAGCTATCATAAGTATTTCATGCATTTAAATACTGTGACAGTAGAGGGTAAATCACCGGATTTATATGCCCTCCACTTTTTTTCCCCAAGCGCTAGATTGATTCATCTGGGATTCATGAGGTGTGTTGAGGTGAGGGACATCAAACGCAATTTATATCGACTTTCCGTCTAGGAAGGCACGGTACAACGAGAAAAAAATAGGGTTGAACATTTTTTGAATTATTCATGGGTACTAGGGCGCTTAGAAATTACCTGTGGTGATGATGGTGAAGGCCGAGGTCGTACAGCCACTGTCTCAGAATGAGCCTCTGCTGCAGCAGCCTGGCCGCCCTCTGCAGCCTCTCCTCGTCATGGGGATGTAGCTCTGGGAGGTCTTCGACGGTCGCGCAGCTCACCAGGCTCGAAATCCCTGAACAAAAATTATCTCAATTACCCATTTGTATACTGGAAATTGGCGGAAAAGACATTACAATCAACTTATCACTACGTAATGAAGCTGTAAATTATTTTCAGATTCCTACTTACAGGGGCATATGGACTTATACGAAAAATATTGAAATTTCTCCCTCATGCCCTTTTCTCACTCTCTCTCTCTCTCTCTCTCTCTCTCTCTCTCTCTCTCTCTCTCTCTTTCTCTCATCTGTCTGTCTGACTGCCTGTCTCTCTCTCTCTCCATCTCTCTCTCTCTCTCTCTCTCTCTCTCTCTCTCTCTCTATCTATCTATCTATCTATCTATCTACCTTTCTCTATCTCTCTTGTTTTGTCTCAAACATGACAAAACGCATGCGCGCACACACACATACACACAGAAACTAATTCATTCACTCTCCTTCCATAGTATAAATTAATAACCGTCATTAAACCAATGGTAAAGTTCGTCAAATTGTTGTTCTAAACAGTGTTGAAGTAAAACCATCAGTAAATCTTTCGTCGACCTCTTGTTTTGTTAGTACGATTTGTCATTTTTGACGTTGGTTAACCCTCCATTCATAAACTCAAAGAGATCGTGATAAAAGTCGAAAATGGAATTTAAGCTAGATATGAAAATTAGAGTAGAAAAATAGATGTAGAATACAAAAATGGAAAAATATATATATAAAAACTAACATAACCCCGATGTAAGTAAGTACACGAATGATAAATGGCGCAAGGCGGCACAACTTTGATGTTGTTTGCAGTTATAGCCTGTTCGGCTATTGATTCTGAACTTAACACTCAGCAGTTTGAAACAGCAGTTAGAACCCGAAATCAACTAACTTTGATTAACTGGAATGAACCTGCCTCAATGCACATCGTTTGCGTTCCACATAGGACAAATTCATAGAAACGGAAGTAATCGCCTCACCCTATTTATAACCCTTACTTAGTAACGCTTATTCCACCCGACGGCGCCGCGAATTCTTTGAAAAGAATCAATTTCACTTTTTATCTTAAATATAGGACAAATTATAAATAAACCTTTTTTTTTCATTTTCATTCAACGTGTTATCAGTAATTGTAATACTGAAATTATAAAACGTTTTAAATCTTTGTGTTCGTTCAATTTTAGATGATGGATAGACATTGACGATGGTCTTTTTATTTCACGGGACGGGAGCCCCGATGATCGATGCTCATCATTACCTACAGTCCCATGTTGTCAAACCTTTTTTTTATCACGTCGAAAATGATGAGCGGATCCTTTTTCACCACGACATTGCGAAGTGTCTGTTATTATTTTATTGAATACAGTAAAAACTACTCCATGAGATTTAACACAATTGGATGAAATAAAAAACGGAAATTGGATTGCACAATTTGTCATAGATTATTGTCAATTTCGCGCTGAAATTATTTATTTTGGATGGACCTTATTACCACTACCTCAAATGGGCTAAGTATGCTTCCCTACGGAACATCCGCCCTAATATAATGTGAGAATTCAGTTCCCTGGCGTACTCGGATAATATTTCAGTATGAAATGGTATCGGGTGTCCCAAAATTAATGCAATATTTGACTTTTTGCTGTAAATTGTTGGCAACTCTGAAAAAAGAACAATTTGACAGCTGAGAGTTTAGGGTTTGTAAAAATGGAGCGTTATACGATACAACAACGTGTTTTCATTATTGAACAATATTTCAACTAAATAAGTTTTTCTATACCTGGGTTTTCACCAACACTCTCACGCACTGCTTCTATATTGATATTTGAACGGCTTGTTTTTGGACGACCGGTTTAGCGTCTCCAACTGATCCAGTCTCCCTGAATTTTTCAATAATCTTTTCACAGTTGACGAGGTTAAAACACTACTTGGACCATATTTTGTATACAATTTTCGAACTGCGGGCGCCAAACTTTCATTATTTTTGAAATATTGCTCCGGCCTGGTTTCAAAAATGGCGGCAAATTTAAATCTTGCGTTAATTTTGGGACACCCTATGCGTATGAGGGAGGATGGTCTTCCGTTCTAAATCAAGAAAGGCACCCAAGCAATGCTGTTTTTGTTCGAGAAAAAACGCAATGTCAGCAACCCGATGGAATTGCTGAGTTGTCGAGTGAAATGTGCCGAATCCAGACTGATGATCTGGAATAATATTACAATAGAATTTTCTATTATTGGCAATAATGGTATGGTAGAAAAGGAAACTAGGAAGCGGGGTTTGCACTCCCCAGGCTCTGCAGCCTTCTGGCTTATTGTACCTTCCTGGTTACTAAGTTCAGTCAATAGACTCAATCCTTCTTCTTAGAAGAATCAGGTCATTGACTGTTGCTGCTGCAATTTGATTCCCTAAGTTTTTTTCCATACGTTAGGTTAAATCACCATTGAGCTGTTGCTTTGCATTCGAAGACGATATGAGTGGCTGTTTCCTCCTCCTCATTACATAATCTGCAAATGGGATCATCGCTGTATATACCCATGTAGTGTAGATGTTTTCTCAGATGCCAGTGACCGGTTAGTAGCCCTACCCTCCTCTGAGTTTGGCCCTCTCCAATTGCAGCAGTGTTTGTGCCAGTCTCGGTGAGGGTTGTTTCATCATAAGTTTGCACATGTTGCACCGCTAGATTTTATTCACTTCTCCTTTTGTTTTGCTTGGATCCATTCTGCGATGTAGGATTCTATATTCGTTTTTGTTATCCCAAGAATAGGTTCGGGGCCTATGTATGGTCTTGCAGATCCTCTTCTGGCCAGTGTGTCTGCTTTTTCGTGCAATTCCACTGTGCCCTCGCACCCAAGATATCATCAGGTTGTGGTGTTTTCCCAGGTTTTGGAGATTTTGGATGCATTCACTGACTAATTTTGATGTGATTCTTTTACATGCTAATGCTTTACTAACTGCTTGGCTGTCTGATCTTATGAGGATTTTTGTCAGTGTAACCTCTTTTAAGATTTTCCAGGGCACAAGCATTGATGGCATGTATTTCCGCTTGAAAGACCGAAGTGTACTTCCCTAATGAGTTTGATTGCTCATGTTTTTGGCTTAGAGAAAATGCCCGATCCGGTTCCTTCGTTTGTTTTGGAATCATCTGTGTACCATATCATTGTATCTGATGCTCTCCTGTGTTCTTCCTCTCCTTTATAGTCCATTGAGACTTTATAGGAAGTTGTGAAGATTGTTTCCGGGATCATGTAATCAGCCCCCATTTCTAATAATGGGAGTCTGATTTTGTTGATTACGGTTGTATGCCCGAAATGTTTAGTTCCTTTCGAATTTAATTGTTTCTGGAGCCTAAGTGAGCTTTTCCTAGACTCTCCTTGCATGAGTATTTCCAGTGGAGGTAGGTTTAGCAAAGTTTCTAATGCGTTTGTAGAGGTTGTTCTCATTGCCCCTGTGATACATAGGTTTGCTACTAGGTATGCTGCCTAATGTTTGGGTAGCTACTTTTTGTTGAGCTTTGTTCCACCAGATTGGCAATAATCGTCGTTTGCCTATTTTGGCAAGGATAGAAAGGAGACAAATGGGTCGATAGGAACTGGGAAGATTAGACGGTTTATTTTGCGTTAAGGACCATTTTAATGGATCCGGGTGGAAAATATGTGGTCCTGAATACAGCGTCGCGTAGGTACGTTAAGTAAAGTAATCTTGTTTGGGGCAAATTTTGTAATATTTGTGTTGTACTTAGATCGTAACCTGGAGCTTTTCGAGACATTCAAGTCGTGTTTAATTTCATGTCGATGGTCATGGTCAAATATGGCGTGGAGTGAATATGGTGGAAAACTGAAAACAATTCATTTATGTCGGAATTGGATTTGGCCCAAGCGTTATTACTGCGGATAGGGGGCGTGTGGTCCTTATATCGTGGAGCGTTGAAATTAACTTTTATTTTCAATTTAATCAATTGAACTAAATTTAATTGATGTAGTTGAATTATTTGTATACAACTTAAATAATGCTCCATAAATGTATCAAAATTATTAACAATTCAATTAATTAAGGTTTTAAATTGAGATAAAAAAAGTCAGTGTCATGAGCGGGATTGGAACCCACGCCTTTCGGCTTGATACGCCGCTACTCTTTACTAATTTTTATTCAGTCACATTTGAATTCTGAAGTAATAAACTGTTGTTTTCATCTTTGTTTTCTTAATTTAAATCAATTAATTAGGGTTTTTGGTTGAGATAAAAAAGCCAGTGTCACGAGCGGGATTCGAACCTACGATCTTCGGCTAAATACGCCGCTGCTCTACCACTTGAGCTATCGTGACTTCGATCCCCTCGGGCACTAACTTCCCATCTCAACCACTCCTTTTGAATTTTCCCTCCTTTTTGTTTTCTGTGTCGTGTAATTCCTTTTTGTTTGTCGTGTAATTCGTGGGTTCCAATCCCTCTCGTGACAATGACTTTTTTATCTCAACTAAAAACCTTAATTAATTGAAAGATATTAATTGGCCAAGCGGACCACGAAAACTAGTGAATTATTAAAAATGATTTTTTTTATACAACATACTGTTTTATCCTATGTAAAAAGTTAAGTCAAATTTTCAATGTACGTCGTAATTTTTAATGTTTCCTCTGCGGATCCGTATATTCAGTGTTTAATGGGGACGCCCCAGCACTTGGCAAAGACCCGGGCCAAGGTCTTAACTTTCGAGTAATTTATCGACGTTTCAATTTTTCACATCACCGGCCAGTTTTCCCCACGTCGTGGAACGTAGGGAGATTAATTTATTTTCTGAGCCTATTGTACGACGACGTCGAGGTTTACGAGTAATAACGGCTCTGATTGGAACTTTTTTTGGTCCCATTTCGGAAGGATCGGGTTGTAAAGTCGGCCGGTGGTTTTACTGGCACGTGAGGTCTCGCCTTTCCCATTTTACGAATAAAAGAGTTTTTTCTCGAAGGAAATTTCATATATTTTATTTATTACAAAACGTGACCTTGTTTCTAAAACTTCCCGAGCAAAATTGCCCAAAAACAACAATCAAAGCAA